GCCGCGACCTCAGCAGTGCCCGGCCGGTTCGCCCCTCCCACCCCTCCGCCACTCCTGCTCCTCCCTGCTCCCTTCTCCTGCTCCCCCTCCTCGCTCTCCTTCTCAGCGCCTCTCCCTTCCTCCTGCTCCCCCATTCCTCCCTCGTTCCGCCTTTTTCCGCCCTCCTACCTCCCTCATTCCTCCCCCCCTCCTCCCTCCCCCCTCCTGCCTCCTGCCTCCTCCCTCCTCGCTGCTTCTCCTCCTCCTCCTCCTCCTCCTCCTCCCTCCATCTCTCCTCATCCTCCTCCTCCTCCTCCTCATCCTCCCTCCCCCCTCCTCCTCCGTCCTCCTCCTCCTCCTCCTCCTCATTCTCCCCGTCCTCCCCCTCCTCCTCCTGCTCCTGCTCCTGCTCCTCCTCCTCCTCCTCCTCCTCCTCCTCCTCCTCCTCCTCCTCTTTCTATATAAATATATTTGTTTGTTGTTCCCTACCTAGGCTCTGCCTAGAAGGGTTCTTACCGTGTATGCTTAAAGGGCCGGGCAGTGGTTCTCGCCCCGGGCGGTTCCCCCAGTATCCGCCCCGCGGTTCCCCGAGTGACGGCCCCTTAGCTTAGCGTTGCTTATCTCATCTTAGCTTAGCTTATTTCATCTTAGCTTAGCTTAGTTATATCTTAGCGCAGGTTATTCCCTACCTAGGCTCTGCCTAGAGGGTTCTTACTTTGTTTGCTTAAAGGGGCCGGGCAGTGTAGGCCGCCCCGGGCGGTTCCCCCAGTCCCCGCCCCGCGGTTCCCCCCAGTCCTCTGGGAGCTTTAGTTTTAGCTTTAACTTTAGTTTTAGCTTTAGCTTTAGCTTTCGTTTTAGCTTTCGTTTTAGCTTTAGCTTAGCTTTAGCTTAGCTTTAGCTTAGCTTTAGCTTAGCTTTAGCTTCACTTTAGCTTAGCTTTAGCGTAGCTTTAGCGTAGCTTTAGCTTAGCTTTAGCTTAGCTTTAACTTAGCTTTAACTTAGTTATAGCTTAGTTTTAGCTTAGCTTTAGCCTAGCTTTAACTTAGCTTTAGCCTAGCTTTAGCTTAGCTTTAGCTTAGCTTTAGCTTAGCATTAGCTTAGCTTTAGCTTAGTTTTAGCTTAGCTTTAGCTTAGCTTTAGCTTAGCTTTAACTTAGCTTAGCTTTAGCTTAGCTGTAGCTTAGCATTACTGATACTACTAATGCTGCTTTCCTAGGGGCTCCAACTCCTAGGTAGGGTCGCACTGGGATAATTACCTAACAGCTTTTGCTGATAGGTTTCTAGTGGTCTCAAAAGAGAGCATCATGACTCCTCAGGGGGGTCTGGGCGGGACCCGGACAGGCTGCCGCCGCGGCTGCCGCCGAAGCCGAAATCGCTTGGGACATCCTCGCAAAATCGCTCTTGGTGCTCCCAGAACTCCATTCCCGGGCCACATTTTGGATGCCCGGAGCCAACTGTAGGCCACTTCGTGCTCTTCGACTTCCCAGAACTCCATTCCCGGGCCACATTTTGGATGCCCGGAGCCAACTGTAGGCCACTTCGTGCTCTTCGATTCCCCAGAACTCCATTCCCGGGCCACATTTTGGATGCCCGGAGCCAACTGTAGGCCACTTCGTGCTCTTCAAGTTCCCAGAACTCCATTCATGGGCATGATTTTGAATGCCCGGAGCCAACTGTAGGCCACTTCGTGTTCTTCTAGTTCCCAGAACTCCATTCCTGGGCCACATTTTGAATGCTGAGGCAGGCTGATGCTGAGGCCGAGGCAGGCTGAGGCTGAGGCAGGCTGAGGCTGAGGCCGAGGCTGAAGGCAGACTGAGGCTGAGGCTGAAGCAGGCTGAGGCTGAGGCTGAGGCAGGCTGAGGCTGAGGCTGAGGCAGGCTGAGGCTGAGGCAGGCTGAGGCTGAGGCTGAGGCTGATGCAGGGTGAGGCTGAGGCAGGCTGACGCTGAGGCCGAGGCTGAAGGCAGACTGATGCTGAGGCTGAAGCAGGCTGAGGCTGAGGCAGTCTGAGGCTGAGGCAGGCTGAGGCTGAGGCTGAGGCAGGCTGAGGCTGAGGCTGTGACTGCGACTGCCGTTGCCACTGCGACTGTCATCGCGAATGCGACTACGACTGCGAGAACAGCAGAATTCTACAACTGGATTCTCATCTGAATCTTAAGGGGAATGCTTCCAGATATGCTCCTACACATCGCTGTTAGGTTGCTTTGCCGGGAAAATTTTATATCTCGACGCTTGGAGTATCCCCACCAGCCACTTGATGTCGAGCGATTTGTCGCTATGGTCGCGAATGGAAAAGTATCCCCACCAGCCCATCCAGAAGATATGCCCAGGCGAGTTGCCTCTCAGAGTCTCCTCGGATGTGTCTTGGAAGCTTTCTGGAGGTTCTTGTAGCGTCTTGTGGGCATCTTGGCGGGCCCAGGGCCGTCTTTGAGCGTCTTGGGTGCCGCGGGGATCCTCTTGAGGCTTCTTTGGGGTCTCTTGGGGTCCTCTTGGAAGCGTCTTGGGTGCCTCTTGGGGCCGTCTGGGCGCCTCTTGGGGCCTTGCTGAGGCGATCTTGGGAGCCTTGGGGGCGCTGTTGGGTCCATCGGAGGAGATCGATCAAAGAAGGGAGAGCTTCAAGTAGCGTCGCCTCTCGAGAGAGCCTCAAATTGCCTCTTGGGCCCCTCTTGAATCGCTCTTGGGGCGCTCTTGGGCCGTTTTGGGGCTCTCTTGAGCCTCTCTTGAGGCCCTCTTAGGCCATCTTGGAGCCATCTTGAGGCCCCGGAAGGCCATCGAAAGCAAAAAGACGAGAAGGCCAGAATCATTGTGTTTCGCTTCGTTTTTGAAGATTTGGGCATCTCGGCGGCATCCTGGAGAGGCTCTGTGGCCATCTTGAGCCGTCTTGAAGCGGTCTTAGGGCCTCTTGGAGCATTTTGGGAGCCATCTGGACCTAGCTTGGGCTATCGTGAGCCATCTTGAAGGTTATCTTGGGCTCTCTGAGGCCCCTCGGAAGCAGCTCGGGCCTCTTGGGGGCCTCTCGGGTGCTTTTTTGAGGCTTCTTGGGGCTTCTTGGGGCTTCTTGGGGCGCTCTTTGGGCCCTCTTGGGAGCCTCTTCGGAGCCCTGGAGGGCCTCTTGGGGCCATCCTGGAGGCGGTCGGTCAAAAGAGGGGGGTACTCGATTTGCGTCCCCCACTCGGGGGCTAGGATCCTCGAGAGGGGTGGCAAACAATGGCCCTCCCAATGGCCGAAAAAGGAGCCTCCGACACCTCGCGTTCCCTCCCAAAAAACTTCAGGGAGGGGCGGAGGAGGGTTGCCCTCATCGAAGGGAAGAAAGGGGTTGTGGAAGAGGAAAGAGACCCTCGTTGGACCACCTGTCGCCCAAAGGGCTGGTGGGATTCTTGCGGCTGCTGCTGCTGCTGCTGGTGCTCTCTGGGAGCTTTGGCGGCGCTCTTGGAACCCTCAAGGTAACCATGGAAAGCTTCTTGGGACCATCTTAGAGGCCATCGATCAAAGGATAAGGGGGGGGTCCCCGACTCAGCCTTCCGCTCAGGAGCCCGCAAACCGCTTCTTGAGGCTCTCTTGGAGTGCTCTTGGTCGCTTTTGGGGCCGTCTTGGGGCCCTCTCGGGGCCGTCTTGGAGCTCTCTTGGAGCCCTCTTGGGACTCTCTTGGGAAGCCTGGAGGCCCTCTTGGGGCCATCTTCGAGGCTATCGATGAAAAGAGGGGATTCCTTTATCTCCGTCCCCCCCATCGAGGGCCACGATCTTCGTGAGGGGTGGCAAAAAATTGCCCTCCCAGTGGCCGAACAAGGAGCCTCCAACCTCTCGCGGTCCAGGTCCAGGGGAGGGGGTAGGGGGAGGGGTCAAGTTATCCGCTCCCCGCCCGCAAGCCGTCTCGCTCACTCCCACCCGCCCTCCCAACACATACGTAGCACCCGAGTCTGGCCCGAGCCTCAGCATATTCAGCAGTCGTCTTTGGATGGGTGGCTACTGGGGGCCAATCCGCCGCCGCCGCCTCTGCCTCCGCCGCCGCCGCCGCCGCCGCCGCCGCCGCCGCCGCCGCTGCCCGCCGCCGCCCCCGCCCGCCGCCGCCGCCGCCGCCGCCGCCGCCTGCCGCCGCCGCCGCCGCGCCGCCCGCCGCCGCCGCCGCCGCCCCCCGCTGCCAAACCGCCGCCGCCACGCCGCCGCCGCGCCTCCGGCCGCCGCCGCCGCCGCCTCCCGCCGCCGCCGCCGCCGCCGCAGCCGCCGCAGCCGCCGCCGCCGCCGCCGCAGCCGCCGCAGCCGCCGCCGCCGCCAAATGTACTCTGTATCGTTTTTGGCAGGGGTGGTGGGGGGGACCGCATCGGGTTGGCTGCGCATGATCCGAATTTGGAGGCAGAGTGTGTTTTTACCTAACAGCTCTTGCTGATAGGTTTCTAGTGGTCTCAAAAGAGAGCATCATGACTCCTCAGGGGGGTCTGGGCGGGACCCGGACAGGCTGCCGCCGCGGCTGCCGCCGCACTCGTTTTTTCGCAAACAGTCACACACATTTCGTGCTCTTCGACCTCCAGAACTCCATTCCCGGGCCACATTCTGAATGCCCGGAGCCAACTGTAAGCCACTTCGTGCTCTTCGACTTCCCAGAACTCCATTCCCAGGCCACATTTTGGATGCCCGGAACCAACTGTAGGCCACTTCGTGCTCTTCGAATTCCCAGAACTCCATTCCCGGGCCACATTCTGGATGCCCGGAGCCAACTGTAGGCCACTTCGTGCTCTTCAAGTTTCCAGAACTCCATTCCTGGGCATGATTTTGAATGCCCGGAGCCAACTGTAGGCCACTTCGTGTTCTTCTAGTTCCCAGAACATTGTTCCTGGGCCACATTTTGAATGCTGAGGCAGGCTGATGCTGCGGCCGAGGCAGGCTGAGGCTGAGGCAGGCTGAGGCTGAGGCCGAGGCTGGAGGCAGACTGAGGCTGAGGCTGAAGCAGACTGAGGCTGAGGCTGAGGCAGGCTGAGGCTGAGCTGAGGCAGGCTGACTGGAGGCAGCTTGAGGCTGAGGCTGAGGC